AGAAAGAAAGAAAGAGAGAAGGAAGGAAGGAAGGAAGGAAGGAAGGAAGGAAGGAAGGAAGGAAGGAAGGAAGGAAGGAAGGAAGGAAGGAAGGAAGGGGAAAGAAGAAAGAGAGGGAGGGAGAGGGGGAGTGAAAGGAGCGGGAAAAGAGAAGGAAGGAAGGGCCTCTCGCCTCTTTCAGCCCAGGCTAACTTGAGATAGCAACACCCCGCTTCTAACGCTTCCCTGACCGCTTGGACCGACGGCCATTTCAGCCGAGGCTCTGGACACCCCAGAGCACCGTCTCCGAGGATCCAAAACGCGGCCGTAACAGGCTCCTTCAAAAGCCGAGGAAAGCCGGACAGCGTCCACCGTGACGGAGCCAGGCGGGCCGTCCTCGACAGGGCGGGCAGAGGGGAGGCAGCAAATATAATTACATGTTTCAGCTCAAACAAAACGTCCCGCGTGAGGTCGATGCGCTTCCGGCTCACGTGCTTCACGGCCACGAGGTTCCCCTGGAAAAAAGGGACGGTGACCCAGGGTGCGGGAAAGGAGAGACCCTGCCCAAATTTGCACATGTCCATTGCGCAGATCTGCACCAGGTTTCCAGGGGCTCCTCCCCAAATGTCCCCATCCTTGCCTGCTTGGATGAACAGGGCAGCCTGCAAAGAAATCATGCGCACGCCGGGGGTCTTATGCCAAAGCAGCAAGATGCAAAGGGTCTCTCCCTCTCAAAGACCCCCAAAGCCGGGGTGGTATTGCCCAAAGGCCCAGGCCCTCAAACCCAGGGCCTCCCCTTCTTCCAAGAACGATCAGAGTCTAAGCTTACTTTGTAATAAGCCGTCTTGGCGTAAACCTGGAATTGTCCTTCGGTGGTAAGCAAGGATCCGTAATTTGAACCTCTCTAAAGTGGGGAGGGGGAGGAAAAAGCAGTGAGGACGACCCCTTTTGCAGGAGACCCTCCCAAACAGGATCTTGCTGTTGAGAACAGATCCCACCCCTCTGGATGTTTGAGCTTGGATCTCGCCTCGGTGGCGGCATCACCCTCAACGGGTGACGCGGGCCTACCTCGAAGAGGCGGCGTACGCATTGCACCAAAGCAATGCACGTGGAAAGAGCAATCCAAGCGGGGAGGGGGCCCGGCACAGAGCTCAAAAGCGCATGCTGTTAAATTGAAATCCACAAAGGAAACATCGTCCTATCTGGAGGTCGACAGAGCTACCAATGCGGGGTTCAGGGTAGTCAGGGATGAGGGTACGCACCAGCGAGAGCGTGAGCTTGCTGCCCATGCTTCGTAAATTCTTCTCCAAGTTGCTCGACTGCACATCCTCCCAGCAGACACGCCAGAACTCTGAAGCCAGCTCCTTTTCCAGCTTCATTTTCCTAACGGCCGTGGGAACACACCAAAGCAGAGGGTATGGTCGGCCTGTCCCTCATTCTCACCCTTCCGGCTGCTTCCTTTTCTTTATTTCGCAAAGAGTGACCGATCCACACCGCTCCACACGGTTAAAAGGCCCAGAGTCTCACCATTCCCCCACCACCACCCCCTCTCAGAAACTCTTCAAGTTGATTAGCAGCTCAGAATTGGCTTCGCTTTGACAGCACTGCTCAGAACTGGCTTTGGGGGACTACGTTGCTCGGAACTGGCTTGGCCAGATGTTGCAAAAGTGGCTTTAAAAGGGAGGGGATGGGCCAACTTTGATTAAGAATCCTTCAAATAATGCATTATTCTTATCAGAGTGCATCACTGGACACTGATTACGGAGTAACGGACCAGGGGAGGAAGCTTCAGCGCACACTTCAGCAGGAATTTAGCACTGCCACATAGAAGGATGGGGCGGGGGGTAGGCTGATGGCTTGATTTCCAAGGATCGGAGACAAATCTTTGCAGGAGAAAAGATCTGGGTGCGGTGGCAGTCTACCTTAGTGTGGGTAGACCGGGAACAAACATAGCGGGAAACCGAGAAAGGGATCCAGCAGCTGCTCGGGGCCAAGAATATCATGCCTGAAAATTGAATGGCTCCCGGACCGGAAGCAGAAGAGTTGGTCTTCTGCCCACGGGGTGGGATCAACCCTGCCAACTCACCGGTAGGCGAAGAAGGCCGTGATGATGATGCCAAACAGAAGCAGCGTCATTGCCAGCGGCAAGATCTCCAGCAAGGAGAAGGAGGCTGTGCGGGAGAAGGGGGGAAAAGAAAAGGGAAGGAGTTTCTTAATGCACAACAACAGGCGATTCATCATTCGGCGACTTCCACCGTAACTCAAACCATAAAGCAAATGAATGAAAAACACACCCAGAACGTCTTCAGCCTGGCGCCGTCGGGGTGGCGTAAACTCCCCAATGCCCCTTTGCCCGGCGGGAGATCAGCTGAGCAGGAGGCAGCCCTCCCTTGTGTCGCCCACCCGGGCCTCCGGGGTCTGCTGGTTTCCAAACCTTGTCCTCAGCCAGACCCACGCCAGGCGCAGCCTCTTTCCACTCCTCCCCGGCCCATACCTTTCTGACAAACGGGGTTGTCGTTCTCGAAACCGCAGAACGGCACATCTCTTGGAATGGCGTGGCCCGGCCAGTGGATCCTTCTTCCCGGGACCATTTCAATCTTCTTGGTGGTCCCGTTGTAGTCAGCAACGATCTGGGGAAAGACAAAGGCCGGGGCAGGGAGGTAGGGGGGACAAGGTGAAAAAGAGGTACCTCCTTTGTTTGGGACTGGACCGCCTCGTCTTTCGCCAAATGGGGAACAAAACTTTGGAACTCCCTGCTGCAGGGACGGGCGATTTAGAGGCTCCTTAAAAGGGATTGGGGCTCCCTTTGGGGCAGGGGAGTCCATCGGGGACCCGGTTCTTGCAACCGCTGGGCAAAGCCTCCATTTACAGAGGCAGGCTACCTTAGAGTCCCGCCACAAAGGGGGCAACTAGGCGAGGGGGCGCTTGGAGCCTCCGCTGGGCTCCCCAGAAGCTTCTGCCAGGGCCGTGTAGAAATTGATTCAATGCGATCCCATTGCATGCTGGCAGATCTCCGGAACTCAAAGCCGTGTCGTCTCGCGGCCCCACCCACCTCAAACTCTCCCCTCGCCGGATCCAGGTCCCACAGAGAATAGTCCGTCTCCCGGTCTCCGTTCTGATCGATCCGCAGGGGCCCCGTGATTCCTGCGGGGCAGAAGAGTTTAGAAGAGGCAACCCCAAACGCCAGCATTTCCCCGTGCAAGGAGACCGTATATTTATTTGATCGATCGATCGATTAAATTTGTATGCTGCCCATCTCCCCCACTGGGTGACTCTTCTCTGTCTTCCCTGGGGGTCCCCGAAACCCTTTCAGGGGCTCCACGCACTCAAATCCCTAGGCAAACCTTTTTAAACGTCTCCGTTTTAATTCCTAATACGGTCAATCTTGATCAATATAACCCAGATAAACCAAAGCTTTTGGGGTCTAATTACAGACTCAGGGCGCTGAGAGGTACCAGCCTAGATTATTCCCCCCTCCCCGGTCTTGAGGATGGATATTCAACGCGGGCCCCTCTGCAGGGGCTTTGCCCCCAGGGAATGCCCCCCTCTTCAGCAAAATCACACACACACCCCGGCTTAAAACACAGGACCTGCAAGGGAACTGACCGTAGAAGGTCCGGTTCCGCATCTGGAGCGTGATGGCCGTGGCATTGGACAGAGAGCCGCCCTGCTCCAGCGTCTCGTTCACCGCGTGGGCATAGAGCATCACCCCGTCGTGGAAAGCAGCCGCGATGAAGTTCTCCTGGAAGATGGAGAGGTGGGGCAATCAAGAAGGGGGTGGGCAGGGCTGGGGAGGGGGACCGGACCCCAAGCGAGGCTCTGCATCGGGGGACAGACTGGTGGGTGGCAAGCTGGACCCATGACGGGTGCGCTTCTCCAACAGGGTGGACGAGTGCCAACCAGCATCACGGCTCAGCAACAGCAGGGCTTGGGGAGGGGGGCTGCCGGAAGCTCAAAATGCCAGCTTGGCTTAAGCCCCCTTCGGGTAGAAGGGGCGACTGCTGATTTTACGATCGTGCCCCCTCGATGCTGGCATGCCCACATGCGGGCACTTCCACAGCGGGCCCGAAAGATGGCACGTTGGCAGCGGAAGAAAAGATTCAGCTGGCTAAGGGTCGGAGACCCTTGTCCTGTTTAGCCGAGCAACACGCATGTACACACACGCGTGCAAGCAGGTCACCTGTGTTTTGCACTGGTCTGAGAAATCAGAATTTACTTCTCTATCAAAGGAGGTCCCAGGCACACTTCACCTCCGGTTCTTAACCTGGCAGGGTTCACCCCTTGCCCTAATCTAAAATGACAGTTTCTCAACTTTAAGATGGGTGGACTTCAACTCCCCGAATTCCCCCCCCCACCCAGCCCGGTCGGGGGTGTCTT